GATGTTCACCAGCATCTTTGGGATGGTGGTGGAGGTGAAACAGATGTCTACCAAGGACAGGTTGGAGAGGAAGAAGTACATGGGCGTGTGGAGGTGTTGGTCTGAGCTGATGGCCAGGATGATGAGCAGGTTTCCCAACACAGTGACCAGGTACATGGAGAGGAAAAGCCCAAATATGAGGGGCTGCAGTGCTGGTTCCTCTGACAATCCCAGGAGAAGAAATTCTGAAATCAGAGTATCATTCCCAGGTCCCATGGGATGGAGGTTTCTGGTAGGAAAGAAAAATTAGCATGATTAGTTTTTACACAAATGGCCATAACAAGCAAAGTTGAAATGCTACAATTATAGTTTGTAACAAAGCGACAATATTTACTTTTTGTACATATCATCCCCCATGACATCTCTGATTAGGAATTCCTGTCTTTCTCAAACTTTTTTTCCAGGGTTGTCATGGATTATACTGTCTTAATGAGAAATGCTTTCATGCACTTAAGGAATATCTATTGATATTTCCCACCTCCACCAAGAGTGTACAGGATGCTCAGAAACATAATTCTTAGAATATAATGGTAGTGAAAGAAATATGTCATATAACAAGTTAGATGTTGTAACGTGAAGGAAAAGAAAGTAGTTGTAAAGAGAGTGGGTGGGGTGTTATTTTATACTGGGAGTTCAGGCAGCCCTGCAAACAAGGTGGCAATTGAACAGAGACCTCAAGGAAGACAGCGGGGTGACACAGGGTTACTTGGGGATGCAAGACTATGTAAGAAAAGAGGCAGTTCCAAAGCCCTGAGATGACACTTGTAGGTATTCTAGGCTCAAAAAGGACACAGAATGGTGAAATGGAGTCAAGAAGGCACAAAAGAAAATATTACAGAGCATCATGCATAGTGAGGGTATATGGTTCTCTTTTTCATGTGTGTGTGTGTGTGTGTGTGTGTGTGTGTGTGTGTGCAAAAAAAAGCTGAATCACAATGTAAAGGCACATCTTATTTTGGGACACAGTAAAAATAATCTGGAATTCAATACAATAAATGCGAGAACAGTTTAAAAGGCCAGATCCTGCTGATGAGGGAACAATAATAGGAGTGAAAAGCCCAGCAGAGAGCCAGGTGCACTGCTCCTGGGCACTTGACCCCTGGCACCTGTGCTTCCATGAGCATTCTCTGAGATCTCCTTATACTCACTCTTGTGCTGATGAAAGGAAGACCCACAGAATGTAAGAAAAGTTCCAGGTAACATCAGGCACCAGCTGTAGAAGAGTGAATTAGAACTCACACCTCCTGACTCTAACTAAGTCAGTGCTTTTCTGCTCTGCAAGGCTGCTCACTCTGTCAACGCTTCACAGAGAAGAGGAAATGCTAAGGTTGGAATAAAGCAGAATCCTGAGAGCTGAGCAGACAGAAGGGAGGGCCTGTTCCTGCTGTGGGAGGAGAGAGGCTGTGGAATTGTGCTCTGAGATGGAGAGAAGAAAGGAGCTGAGAAGATATAAGTTGCAAGAAAGCCCTATAGAACAAAAAACAGCAAATGTGCCTGATCTTGAGTCCATCCCTTTCACTATTTCATCAGCCTGACTGTTCCCCCAGACACGGTTATTAAAAGCTTTACTTCTCCCCGCGATGCTTTCCCACAGTGCTCACTCTGGCACCCCCAGTGGCATCACTCACTGGATTTGGCTCTACCGGTCCTTCCTTCTTTTGGCAATTGATGTGAAAAAGGCAAATAATGGAGGTGAGGTGCTGGTTATCCAGAGCAGATGAACATCTTAGAGAGGCACAGAGAGGATGCTCTTAGCCTGTGGCTGAGGAGCTGCAGGTGAGTCTGCAGAGGGAGGTCCAGAGGCTGAATTCTCAGGGCTCCTCATTAAAGGAACTGTTTTACTTTTGCTCAGTTCTCTAAGCAACTGAGCTCCCTTGAAACCTAGGGACCATAAATCAAGGGCAACTTTCCTGCCAGTTTGGTCTCTATGGGTTCACCTTGGGGGCCAGATGCATATTCCCTGCCTACTGATGGGTCCACCTTCCCAGAAATAAACATTTCCCCAGGGTATGTAAGCGCTCATGTAGGACACATGGACAGGTTAACATCATGAGCTTCAGAGCAGCTGTTGGTCACATGATTGTCTGACCCAGAGATTTAGTGATGTCCCTGACCACACCCATCCCGAACAGGTACTCCCAGAAATTTCCCCTTGACCGCAGTTGTGAGAACCAGAGATCAATTATGAATATGCACTCGATAGGGGGGGCGGGATTTTACCTACAGAGGAAGGGTGTTCTTTGTACAAGTTCCCCAGATCCAATTGTTCAATTTTTTCATCTGGAGTAAATGCATTCACATCTTTAAACTCACATCGGTACATCTCTTTTTCTGGCCAGCGAGGCTATTCAGAACATTTCTTTAGAGAAAGCATACTTTGAATATAAAACCAGTGACTTAGATAGTGACTTAGAACAGTCACTGCCAAACATAGCTTCAACGAACTAAAGATTATTATTAGACCATCAGTGCTCTGTTGCAGCTACTTAACGCTGCCAATGTAGTGTGAAAGCACTTGTAGGCAATAGCCACACAGATGGGCTTGGCTGTAAGTATTTATTTTCTGTGGATTCTGAAACAACTAAATACAAACAGGGTGGCTTAAAACAAATGAAATTTATTGCAACGAGTTCTTTATTTTAATTGTCTAAAGTTTTACGTATGTCTCCTTTTTCCCCAACTGACCCACTCCCCCATCCATTCAAAACCCAGGCAAGCCCCCACCACCCCAGTGTCTGTGTCCATTGGTTATGCTAATATGCATGCATACAAGTCCTTCGTTTGCTCTCTAATCCGTCCCTCCCCTACCATTTGTCTCTAGATCAATTCTTGTTCATCAAATTATTTTGATCATTATATACCACATATTAGTGAGGTCATTGATATTTATCTTTCTCTGACTGGCTTATTTCACTTAGTATAATGCTCTCCAGTTCCATCCATGCTGTTGCAAATGGTAAAAGTTCCTTCTTTTTTATAGCGGTGTAGTATTCCATTGTGTAGATGTACCACAGTTTTTTAATCCACTCATCTGCTGATGGTCACTTAGGCTGTTTCCAAATCTTAGCCATGGTAAATTGTGTCTCTATGAACATAGGGATGCATATATCCTTTCTGATTATTGTTTCTGTTTTCTTGAGACATATTCCTAGAAGTGGGATCACTGGATCAAAT